GGGGGACGTCGGACTCGACTATCAGCGGAGCAAACATTCCGTGGAAATGACCGCCGCCAGGGCCGCCAGCGAGGCCCCTCGGACTGAACGGCGGCTGGCGGGGCCGGGGCCCGGGCCACGTGGGGCACGTGAGGTCTGCTGCTGCCGCTGGATATTCTGTATGGAAACGAAAACGTCTGTGTAGCGAGAGGAGGCAGCAACAGCCATCGGGCGGGGGTTAGCGGAGAGGGGCTCGAGACGGGACTGGGAATCTGCCCGGGCGTTCCCAGCCAGAAATAGCAAACGTTTTGGGTATATGCACGGGCGGGGTGCGTGCGCGCGTGGACGCGCATGCGGAGCTGAACGCCTCGCGCACCGTCTTGCCCGCGGGGGCGGACACATTCCGAGGGTGAGCTCGGAGGCCGGGTGGCCATTGAAGACTATGTGAGAACGGAAATTATACGATCGCTGGGCATGCGCATCTTACTAGCTGACCCGCCGCGGACTATACTGCAGGGCTCACGCTCAGGGCCACGGACACTCGCATGACGGGATAAGCTATATTCAGTTTAGCCACGCTCACTTCCACCCTCGCCCTAAATCCACGCTCTCGCGAGAGCGGCTAAACTGAATATAGCTGGGGAGCCAACTTGACCTTTTACCCCGAGGCTGGGGTAGCGCAGTGCCGGGCGGGCGGGACTCGCGGGTTTGGCTCGAGCGATAAGGGAAGCCCCGCACGGCCCGCACCGTCACAGTCGGACAGTGCATGTGTTTGCGTGGTGGGATGTCCTATAGTTCACGTGTATGTCGTGTGTTTCCCATCTTTCGGTCACAACCTCGGTCACATCGTCACTTTGGTGGCGTTGCGCGGGTAAGCCATCGCGTCCACTGCGTCACCCACCCGCGCGGCCCTCAACGGGTCGACTATGATGGGGGGCGTTGCGACGAGGACTGCGAGGACCGGGCCCGGGCGGGGTACGGGTGGGTCGCACCCAGTGACTCACGCCTTTCCAGTGACTCACGCTATGCGCGGAGCCGCTCGGCTCCGAGTCACTTTTGTCTGAGTCACAATAACACGCCGAAGCCGTGACCCCCTCCCCACTGTTTAGTTATGCATAGCACTATGTGAACGTTAGAACAACGATTGAAGTATTTCATTTCGAAAACCTCGCGCGCGTGATATCTCGACTGGCAGCCAGCAGAGCATATGGTGACGCGCGCCCTATCCGCGCTGACCGGAGACCTTGGGGACATTGCGCAAATGTGTGTGTGTGTGTGTGTGTGTGTGTGTGTGTGTGTCGGTATGGAACTGGAGCGGCCCCAGCGCAGCGATGTTGGCAGTGATGATTGTCAAGTTGGCACAACGCTGGCCCGCTGCGCTCTTGTGAGGCGTGGCGTGGCACATGGCCTGCTCCACTTCTCGAAAAACGCTGATGTGTGCGCGAGGAGTAAGTATACAGCCACCTGAGCGGCGCCCAGGCCTCGGGAGGCCGCCCGCGGGAGCTCGACCACCCAAGCACACGACAAACAAAGGCCATAACCCGCTGCGGTGGAATTGTGGACGTGAAATTTTTCCCAGTTCTGCAGTTGAAGTCTGAAATTCTAGACGTCGATGAAGTCACCGTGACACAGTTCGCGGTGTGTGTGCTTTGGGTGCGGTCGAGGGGGTCGAGGCTGCACGATGCGCGGGGGCGGCCGCCGCGGGCAGCGTTGAAATGCCACCGTATGGGGTTCGCGTTGCGCCAAATAAGTCCGAAGTGGGGCGCAGCGCACACGCCGCGCCACCACCTAGAATCCTCCATGTCCATCGAGCGGGACTTGGTTCGCCGTTGGAGGAGGGGCGCACTGAGAGAGCCTTGTTGCAGCAGGCGCGAGGCCCAGCAGCGGCCACTGAGTCCGAGTACCTTGTGCCCGGGCACATGTGCGCGTTAGAGCGAGCGGTCTAATGAGACGGCCCAAAGCAGAGAAGGGCGGGGCGCGAGGCGCACCCCGACCGACGACCGACCACTGCCATATCTCCGAGAGGAAATTCCCCCCACGATTAGACGAAAGAGTGAGGATAAATCAGCCATTTTCCGAATCAGAAGAAGAAGAAGAGGAATTTCGTCTGCTCCCGGACCATCACAGAGCCTCGCCTCGACCTCAATAGAACAGAAAAGGACCATAATGCTTGGGCGAGGCTTTGTGATGGTCCCGGAGTAGACGATATTCCTCTTCTTATTCGTAAAAATATCTCATTATTCTTCAACTTCAACGAGGGCTACTATACCAGGTGGCTGATTCGCGCCGTGCACTTTTGATGCTGTTCTACGGAGCCAGAAGCAGCCGTGGGCAGTGAGGATAGGCAAGCCCGCCCCGCGCCCGTGCATGCGGTACAGTATAACTACGAAAGTGGGCGGCCTGAGTCAGCCACCTGGTACAAACAAAGTTTCGGGGCGCTGTAGATAGATAGCGAGGAGGGGGAGTGAGGGGGCGGGGTTTTGCCTTCTGGTAGAGACAGTCTCGGGGACTTTCTAAAAGGATTCAACAACTGGTTTGGGCCAGCGTCATAACCAGAGAGCGCTAGAGCCCTTTCACAGCAAATGCTGCGCGGATTGCGCTCCCTTCATACCGCCTCAATCCACTGCAGGTCGGACGGGAGGGCAATCACATCGGCTCCGCAGTTTGACATTTGGTGGCGCGCGGGAGGTTGCGTTGGGGGAGGTCATTACCTCGTGGTGGTGGTCCGCGGGCCGCGCGCGGGTCAGGGGGAGAGGGGAGGGGGGGGGGCTTCGAGTTTGATAAGACGCAGTGAGTTTTGATGGTGCCGCCGTGCTGAGTCCGCGGTCCCTGCCGAGCGGAGAAGGAGTGGGGCGGGGAGCAAAGCACTCGGTGTCTGTGTGCGAGAGAGAGAGAGATTCACCTCGGTCGCTGCCCCGCCCCGTGTCGCCCCCGGCTCAAGCCTTCTGATGTAAAACTGCCCCGGGGGTTATCAAACTAGTCGGCCGACCGATCGGCCGACAATTATTTTGCTCGTTCAAACGGGCTCATTATGTGCGAACCTGTACGTTTTTCGGGAAGGGGCAATGTGCACAATGTCCTTCCCGATAATGTGCCAAGTGTACAAACGAGAGACGCCATAGTGGTGCGGGTTTGCCTAACTGCCTTCGCCCGTAAGGCGCCATGGCCCGGCCAGTGCGACTCGCTCTGATACACCCGGGTACATGTTCACAAGCAGGAGGGTGCCGTTTTGTTCCAGCTCGGCTACAGGTCGGCCGCGTTGAAGAATCTGGACCACAGCCTAGCCTAGCACAGCGTCTCACTCAGACAGACAACGAGCAGAGAGCAGGGCAACGACACGATCGCACCGTCCCGAGAGAAAAAGAGAGAACCCCGCATGGTGGCTCTCTGCCAGCCGGGGCCGTCTGCACGGGCCCGGCCAGCCTCCTCGTCCCGATACCCAGACAGCGTGTTCCTTCCGCATTTCTAGATTAACTGTGGCCTGCCTTGAGGGCCGAAAAGGTACCTCCATTCGCTGGGACTCTAGGCTAGCTCTAGGTCCGCGGCGTCGAAGATGAGGACGGCAAGGCGATGGCGGCCCGGCCCGGCCCCGCCCAGCCGACCTAGCCAAGCGGCAGAGCGTCTGGCGATCGGCAGGTATGCAGCCCCGCCACACTCGTGCGCGCTGAGCTGCATACCCACCAGGGGCTCGGCGGGCGCCGGCTGGTGCCCACCCGAGTAATCCACAGAGCTCCTGGGGAAGGAAGTGGCCAGGGTCGTTGTAAACTTAACTCATTTATTAGGCTAAAGTTCTGATATCACAAAGGGGAATTAGATCACAAACAATAGGTCAAGATCAAGACAATGCTATTTTGAATGCCTTTCTAATCTGTTCCAATATTTGATGTTTCTTCTTTTCTTCTTGAGTTTTCTTGAGTTTGAAGTTTAGCTTACTGACTAAATTTCTTAACAATGCCCACTGTTGATCATCCAAAGAACTTGTTAAGGAACGCCTCTTTGTTTCACTATTCAAAATATTTTGAACGTCACTCTGGGATATAATTAATGGGAACTCTCTTTTGGAAACCTTCTTTGATTTAACAGCAGTAGAATTTTTCTGATCCCCAATAGAAACACGACTGTTAATTTCTGTCTCATGATCACCATTGTCAAGGATAGGTATTTTACATTCCTGTTCATTTTTTGATGTAGATTGACCAAGTTTTCTCTTCTTAGGTTTGAGTTTGGCTTTAGCAGACTTATCCTCCTGAAAGGAAACATTAGCACTTCCATGAAAGTTTTCTTCTGCATTTGCAAGACTTCTACTTTCTTCGGTATTGGTATCACTAAGTTTTACATCAGCTTTAGAGCGAGATATTGTAGACAAAGAGCTGCGAGATATGGACACTGCAATATGAATAAATAGCTGTTAGCTGGTCTCTATTTTTAAGGTCTAAATGAGCAGAATATATATGAAACACACTGACCTCCAACATCATCACTGATGGACTGAATTTTTGGAGTAATGTGGTTAGAAAGTGAAGTAACTTCATCATTGTCTTCAAATGATGTGTTGTTGTTCCCACCATGAAAATTAATTATCCTGCAACAAAAATAAACCAGAAACATATCCCAAATCAATAATTATGTAAAATTAAGGAGTGTAAAGGCAATGAGAAGACACACCATTCATAATTAGATAGCTAATGACATACTTTTCATTTGATGGAATAGGTGCTTCCATCCAAGACACATCTAACCACTTTGTGAGATCAGGAGGAAAAATATAGCCCTCTGAAAGCCAAGTTGGGCCATTTGGTTGAAATATCTTTAGGAATGGTAACATGACATTATACCATTTGACACAAGCCTCAAATATATGCTTAGCTAGTGCCCTGAAGTGTTTGCAAGGAGAGAAAACCATTTTCATTAACACTTGATTAAAATAAATTTCATAGAAGAAAAACAAGAATTCATCCTTACCAAATGCGGCTAATTACTCCCAAGCATAGTAAAGAAACATGCCAATGATGACCAGAACTCATTCGACTCTTAAAAAGAAATGCCCCCTCAAGACATGTGTGCACTATTCTGCATAGTAAAGCCGCAAGTCCTTGTGTGCGCAATAGAACATATTCCAGCATCTGTCTAGTAGGACAGTAAATTTCTTTCTCAGAGCAGTCCCAAGGTATTGTGCGAAAAATGTTGTCATACATTGGAACAAGGTTCAATGAAAGATAATGCCGGAGGCAGTGGTTGATCTGTTAAACGAACAAGACATTTTCTGTTACAGAGTTCTCAAAGATTCAAAACTCTTAATAGAGCATTTATGCTCTTCAGGTTTAAGATATAGGTAAGTCAACCAGGACCAGAACCAGTGATTGACATCATTCTGTTTCACATTTCAAACAGTTTAGGCATCTCCCTCACAACATTTAAAGCCAATTTGCACGCATTTAGACTGATATTTTGTTGGTTCTTCTAAAAACATGATGAGTGTAAGAGATCCTTCAACAAATAACAACAAATTAACATGTAGACATCAGAAAATTAATACCTTCTCAATAGTTTTAAATCCCTTGTCGCCATGGAACAAATTCTTCATGCGATATATAAGACGAGACAAAGTAGCAGCCTCTGTGGACAGTGCCTGCTGATTTTGCAGTAGGGTCAAAGCGTCCCAGAAAACATCAGAAAGCTTCCGCAAACTTGAGTGCGCTGCAACAAAATATATTATTGATTATTACAAATGAAAGAATGTAATAGTGCAAAACTACTAGTAGTAATTATTCATCAACAATAAGCACAGTATAATTTAACTTACAAACGTCAGAAGATGGTAATTTGGAAGTGAAAGTTGGAGGTGGTTTCAAATCAAAATCATTCCAAAATGAAGTTCCCATCTTAGACGAACACCAACAATTACTAGTCAGATTAAAATATTTCAGTGTATTGCTTGTTTCTTTTTGTACAATTAGCACTTAGTTGAAAGTAGCGACAGGAATAACTTTTACTCGCTCTATATAAATGAAATTGGAGATACACATCACATGAGTTAAGGTTAGGTTAGAAAACGTTTCAGTACCAGCAAAGACAACGGCAAAACCTACGCGACAATACTGTCAGTAAAATTGATTTTTTAAAGATATGAATTGAAATAAATCCGAAAAAAGAAAATGACAATCAAGTTTTTGGGTCAATTCCAAGTCCAACGGAGCATAGAAAGTAAACATTATTCTTTTTGTTTCGAATAGTTGGTAGTTGGTGTTAAAATTGCAGCAGACGATGGGCATTATTTTCAGCTGTCATTCTTATTTACACTTGCACGTCGCAGGTTGTGATTAAGAAAGCAGAAAGGAGGAAGTTGTCCTGACCTGACCATGGAAATGACTAGTCTCCTCTCTGAACCCTGAACCTAGTTGTCACTGAATAATCCGAGTGTGGTAAAACGAATGCATTGATGAGTTTTATGTTTGTTCCAAGTTCAGAAATATTTTAAAAATGCAACCTCCACCGAAGCCATGGGAAGGCGGGCCAGTAAATAGGTATCCAGCCCAAATCAACACAGCAGGGCGCCGTTTTGTTATGCAAAGGTACGAGTTAAAATTTAACATACTGTGATTGAAAATCTATTAAGTATAAAGTAGTATCAGTTTTATTTTACCTTTACATGGAAATTTGAGGTTATTTTGCTTTGGTTGTGTGCTTTTACTACAATGATTATTATAAGTTATTGTCGCACCTGACGTTTGCAAAGTGGACTGTGACTCTTGTTTTTTGACAGCCCTTAGGTACACAATTTTATTAAGAGTTCAATATGTTTGACAGTGGACCTCCGCTCCTACATAGCTCATCTCCAAGCTCAACTCTACCAGGAGGGGCTACGTATCTGCAACCATCTACGAATCCTCAGAGGCCTCCTCCTCCACCTAGAAGGGCACATGGCGTCTCAGGTCCTAGTCAGACAACTGGACTTAGGTGAGAAACCAAGAGCGCATCAATTTAGCCTTTGAATAAATGTCAATTAGATTATCCTCTGATATTTCCATGTTTTTGACAGATCTCGGATGTCATTACCATACTCAAGTTCACCTTATGGCGGTCTTGCTGGTGGATATGGGAGTTATGGTGGATATGGTGGATACGGTGGATATGGGAGTTATGGAGGCTTAGGATCTTACGGTATGGGTGGCATGGGTGGCTATGGAGGATTTAACTCCTATGGATATGGTTATGGTATGAATAGATATGGAGCGCCAAATCCTCATGACCCAGAAAGCAGGTTTATTCAGTTAGCAGAAGAGAGTTCGAGACCTGCATTTCAATCTATTGAGTCACTTGTTCAAGCTTTCCACTCAGTAAGCATGATGCTAGATTCAACATTCAATGCTGTTTATACATCATTTCGTGCTGTTCTTGGGGTTGCTGAAAATTTTGGCCGCCTTAGATCTTTGCTGGGACAATTTTTCTCATCAATAGCTTTCTTCAGAGCATTCATTTGGCTCTACAAGAAAGTTCTCTACTTATTAGGTAGGTCCAGCATAGTAACCATTTTAATGTGAAAGAGTTATTCTGATAATGTTGGCTGAAATTGTTGACTGTCATCTTCCTCTTTTATTTCAGGTCTACGGCGTGAAAACCCGAGTCAGGATCAGCTGTGGCAAGCAGCTGTACAAGCAGCTGGAGAAGAGATGGCAACTGCAGCTGGAAAGCCAAAGTCTTCCTGGCCTATTTTGATGTTTATGGGTATTGTGTTCAGTGGACCATACCTTATTTTTAAACTCATGAGTTCCCTCAACAGTTCTGTGGAGAGCACAGAAGCTGGTTAGTGTTGCTTTTATCTTTCTCAACGTTTATAAATTTGTTTCTTAAAATTATGGAAATCTCTCAGAATAAATTTAATTATTTTATTTTATTTATTATAGGCCCCCAGAATGAGTCATGGAATCCTGATCAGAGGCCTGGTACTCCTGCCATTGCTATGTATGGCTTCACAGCTCAAACTGAGGATGAGTTGAGCTTCTACCCAGGCCAAAGAGTTCATATTGCTCCTGCTTCTTTCCAACGCAAGGAATTACAAGGTATGTTCTTCACACTGTTTGAATGAGAGTAATCCTTGTTCATCTTCATAGAAAAATTTATCTAATTATTAAACTGGTTCTTATAGGTTGGCTTCTGGGAAAAGTTGAGGGAAGTCCACAAATAGGCCTAGTGCCATACAATTACTTATCAGCAGCAACACAGAATACACCTGTGAAGAATACAATATCTGAAACAGTTGCAAAACCACAAAGTAGTGAGATATTGGATAGCCCTTCTGTTGAACCAGTTGCAGAAGCTGAATCTCCATTCCCCATAGAACCTGGTACAGATAAGAACTAAGGTGTTGTGGTTTCTCCATGTTTTATTCCTGTAACTAGTGAATATTTGGACTCATTCCTATTTCATATTCTTCAAAGCATTTATTTATAATGAGAGGAGGCTGTATGTTTGTTTTATTTCTCTGAATGTGATATTCTTGACTTATTTTATATAGATATATACTGTAAATTTTGTTTTTAACAAGTAGATTGAAAATCTAGCACCATGGAGTAATATATCTTTAGTTTCAAAATGAGTTTACCCCACTGTGATCTTTCTGGTATGAGGACAACCCACATTATTCTTAAGCCACATAGGCAACAGCAGGGCATCGTAATGTAACTTGTGATGAAACTGCATGAAACAGAATAAAATTGCAGTTTACAAGCGTTTTTGAAGCATTATACATGTGAATACTTCGTTTTCTCAACCCTTCAAAAATGCATTATAATTGCAATTTTATTTTCATTCTGATGCGTTACTGTTAGGCATGTCATTATGGTATGACGCCCTGGGCAACAGCAGCATTGGGACCTCATTGTTTGTGAACACAGGTTCTGGAGAGTCATATAAGGTACAATACCAAGCAAGCATGATATTGAAACAAGTTTTCAAAACCACTTCTTGCCATTCAAGTAATGTAAGCTAAATTTGTGCTTTAAGTTATGGCAAGTTACCAATATTAGTATTGTTTACTTTTGTTTATAAAGGCTATTTGTTGTGCCAATATAATTTGTATTTGAGTTTAAGGTTTATAAATAAAATAAAAGTAAGTTGATTTTTGGTCTTTTTTTTTTCAATTTAATAGAGTGGTAGAAACATTTACAAGTAAGGTTCAGGGAACTCAAATGACACCTCCCTTCCAGTTAGCTTCTTATATACTGAAGCAAAAGTGTCAACCTGGAAAGAGAAAGAAACCAAGCAATTAGAACAGCAATTTGGTTACTTTTATAAATTTTGGCAACAACTTCAATCTCAGTGGTAGTGACGAAGTAAGTAAACATCAAATGAATCAGTGCACAATAAATAATCATAGATTGACAGGTAACAAAGGGAATTGAGATTGACCAGCCTCAGAGGTAGTGACGAAAAAAATTGCATACTTTCATTAGTTGTCAAAGTTAAGTGGATGCATCATTGGCCAGGTCATGATTCCCTATAATGGTCAGTAGTCATTTACCTTGTGCTCAATATTAGTTTGCTGGTTCTTGTCAAGGTGCACTTTGATGAGCTGGGATCCATCAAGCTTCACTCGGATGCGCTTTCCAACAATTTCAGCTGGGAAGACCAGATCCTCAAGAATGGCATCGTAGACAGCAGTAAGGGTACGGCTACAGAGGAGGAATAATGTCAGTGAAGTAATCCAAAATCAATGGCACAGGCACCAAACAAAGCAACTTACCTCCTGGGTCGCTTCTGCTTGTTCTTGGTGCGGGTCTTACGGGTAGGCTTAGGCAAGATCTTTCTCTCACCACAGAATACAACATGCTTGCCACTGAATTTCTTTTCAAGCTCCCTAACCAGCCTAGTTTGGATTTTTTGGAAGAGCTTCAGCTGAGGAATAGGCACATATATGATGATGGACTGAAACAAGAGAAACCAAGTGTCACAAGCAAGAACATGAAGACTACAACAATTGACACTTCAGGTACTGAGATCTAGATGCAAATGGGTAGCGAAGTAAAGGTCAAGGAAGTATACCGTTTTTAAAGGAAATAAACTAACACAGTGCAGAGCAATCTGGTCAGCCAGAAAACTTACCTTTTTGCCATTCAGCTCAATTTCCTTAGCCTTGGTAATGTGCAGCTCACGCAGTTGAGCCTTCAGGTCACTGTTCATCTCCAGCTCCAGAAGAGCTTGGGAGATGGAAGTTTCGAATGCATCGGGCTCAGCGCCGCCCGGCTTCAAGATCTTGGCTCCTGACGCGAACATCTAAAAAGGAGAAAAACGAATGATTTTGGTAAAATGTGGTGACTTGGTTGAGAGTAATGATAAGAAGACGGTAAGTACACAAAGAATGCGTCAGGTCGGAAAAATAAGAACATGACTTAACCTCTACATGGATAAGTTAAATGCCAAACACAACTTATAAAAAACAATAGAGAAAAAGACCCTTAATAAAACCGCAGCAAGTTAAATGGCCAAAGAAGTTAGACATCACGTTATCTTATGGAAATATAAACGCCGAGAGAGGTTAAAACGTGTCAGTGGTGTGTCGGCACGGCTGATACCGCAACTATCATCCGTAAACATCGTACTAAACCGAAAGTTAAGACTTACAATGAACTTAAAAATAGGTCAAGACAAGATTCGTAAAATTAATCCACCCAGGAGCGAACACTAGTTTACAGAAGGAACATAATATGTGAGCTTAAAATAAGCCCGACCACAGAACAATTTCCACTGCGTTTACCTTGCCATGCGAAAGCGTGAAAGGGACGTTGAGTGCGCACCCGGAAGAAGGTGTCGGTTTGACTTCCTCACAGCCTTAAGTAAATGTAGTGTGACGATCGAACTTGAGCAAAATAAGCGCCACCTACAGGGCGGTGGATTTGCAGTAAAAGCCCGGAAAAATAATCGAAATAATAACTTAATGCAATTATTAAAGATTGTATTTCAGTATGCCGCACAGCTCTAGATTTAGAAAGTAAAGTTCTACAGCATCGGAGGAAAATGACATGACTTCAGTACTCTTCGCATAGAAAGTTGACAATCTACAGAAGACACGGTCAATGATTCTTCTGCTACTTTGTGGACAGTGCTGCTCTCTCGCGTCCAAGTTGGCGCATGAAGACCCTTCCTAGTGAATCGCAGGTCAATCGAACAGGAAGGAAAAAATAATGGCTCTTCAAAGGGTCTTGGTTTCGTTAGCCCGTCGATCATTTTCGACAGCTTCCACGACATCACCTATGAGTCGTCTGTTCGCAAACACGGACTGTGAGTACGGGTGTTTTACACTAGTGCACGGGCGAAGGTCTCAATTGTGACGGTGTCGAGCCATAACCTTTTATCTCGTGATCCCACAAATATATTTGCTATCCCTAAAGTGGAGTTTTCATTCTATCACCCCTAGTAAATGTAATGACAATTCCCGAACGCTCCACTATGCGACAAGTCCGTCGACATTCCGTGTATCAGATTTGGTCAAGTTGTCCTGTTTGACCCATTGCTAGGGGTTCTAGCACTACAGATCCAAATCCCTTATGCTACACTGTTATTCATAAGTGCCATCTATCATATAGGTAAATTTACATTTTTTGGATATGCAAATTGAGTTTTTTTCTTAAATTCTTGTAATCAGCAGGCAAAAATCTTAAGGAATGGTTGCATATTACATTTAACAACACTCTAATTATAACTTTACTAAGGTCTTCAAACACTCCATACAGAATTTAAGTTCCTGACATTTCTGATGAGACCGTTTTATTAATCAACTTGACCACAGTATAGTCCCTCACATCTGCATAATTTGTTAAAAATGTGACATTGTTAAGTTTTTATGTAACAACTGTAGAGGTGGCTCTACCATCTTTGAAGTGGTATCTGTCAAGTGTGTTCACTAATTCTTGTTTCGCTTTCAGATACTCCTAACCCCCTGGAACATGCCAGTGGCATAGAAAAGAAGCAACTGATTGCTGAACTGGCAGGAAATGATGTGAGTTTTTCACTGCCACTTGTTATAATTTTGTTAGTCCAGCCCCCTAAACAAGGTATCTTCCGCAGGATCCATTCGATGTGTCTGTTGTGAAGCGTGGCGCTTGCACCAAGGACCAACCACAAGTTGTCTTGTCATGTAACCATGAGCGTCTTGTAGGCTGTATATGCGAAGAGGATTCTGAATCTGTCGTCTGGATGTGGCTTAGGCAGAATGAATCTAAACGATGCGCTTGTGGTTACTGGTTTAAACTGCAGAAAAAGGAACCACTGTAAACCGTGTATAATATGAATTTTTCCTCAAGCGTGTGTAGTTCAAAGTTATTTGAGCACCACCATTAGTGAATTATAGCAATGTCTTAAGTCATTGCCAATTGCTTTGTACAGAATGAAACCTGCAATAAAATACTTTTAATTGGGATTCAGATCATTTTTAACCATACTTCTAACTTGTTTCTTTATGACTAAATTATTAGAAATTTCAAAGCAAAATGCCGTGTTGAAGGGATTACTTAAGAAACGTGTGATCATTTAAAATGTATAGAACTGTACACACCTTGTATTGTTTTTTTGTTTTGGAATCCTCAACGGAATTCCACTTGGGAGAAAATAAAATCTAGTTCTTATTTGTTGTGAATTTTCTTGAGTTGGTACTCCTATTAGACAAAGCTTGGAGGTAATTATTCTCTGATCACTAACGTCTAAGGTTCAAGTTGAGTTCATGAGGATAAATAAGAGGCAATAGTACTGGTAGTAATTACTTTAGATATAACAAGGGTTGAATAAGTAACAAAACATTCACATAGTGCTACACTCAGCCCAGTGCGAAATACATTTTTAAAGATGTCGAAACGATGTCGTAAGTCGAAATGAGGCACAAGTTTAGACAAAAAATTCATTTCGCACTGAGAGTAATATTATTCTACCAAAGGTAGATTTTGTTGTTTTTTGAAAACAAGAGGTGCACATAACAATTGTATAAATTAAGACCACAATTTAAAAAAAAATTACAGTAAGTAATGTTATGGTATGGCACTTAACAAGAAAAGAGTTACCCTATGCCAAAGCATTTCTCACTGGGAGGAAAGGCCACATAATTTTGCTAACTCTATTACCACCTAAGAAGTCTCCCCTACGATCCAGAATCATTAGATTTGGAAGAGCATCGAGCAATGGCAAAACATTATATTGATGGACAAATCTACAAGCACAAAAATTCAGAGCTTTCAAATTTGGGAATGATGATGGGAAATGATGTAAAAGATCTGAAGTTACCATAGTGCCATGTAGATTAAGTCTTTCTAAGTGAGGTAGTTTTTTGAGAAAAAGTTTTACAGTCTCATCCCCAATGTTACATCGGCTTAAGCATAAATTAACTAGTTTGGGACAGCAGTCAACCAACAGAGGCATAGATTTGTCAGTAACTAAATTTGAATAGCCAATATCAAGAGTCAATATTTCTGGAAACCTATCATAGAATAATGTAGTAGTAAAATCTTCATCTGTGTACTCATTAGGCTTTATAACAAGATTACGTAGGCGACGATACTGTGGTTTTGCTACCAAATTTAAAAGTTCTCTACCAACATTTTGAGCTGCGAAGACATACACTGTTTTTAGGCAGTTTTCTGATCTTTCATTTTCCATTTTTTCAGGATCCACATAAACTTCTAGAGTCTCTACTTTTGTCATGTAAATATGTTGTAAATTTGGGCAGTTGCTAATGCAGTCAATCACAAATCTTTCATGATAATTGAAGTTCCTTACTATAAGAGTTCGAAGAGATGACACTGAAGAGATACCTGTTAAATTTGGATCATGGTCATGTTTCTTCTCAAATTTCCATCTTAAATCTAAATCAAGGTGCTTTAAGTTTGTGAGATTCTTCAATGCACCATAAGGAACAAAAAAGTCCCCATGTAATTTAAGCCAAGAAAGATTAAAACAATTTTTGATTAAGCAGGGAACATATCTGTGACATGAAGTATATGTATATGAAATAGCATCGACACTTGGTGCGCAACGAATGTAACTCATTAACTGATGACAAGGCATATCTCTGCCAAAAACAAGTCTTCTGCCTTTCCAAACATGGACAGCTTGAAGCAGTTCATGCCAACGACTGCAGACATACTGCACAGATGTGAAAAGATGAGAGACATCGCAGTGAGAGAAAATTAAATACATAACTTCTGGGGGTAGTTCTAGTATAGATAATGAAGATCCTGAGTCAGACGAGGTTTCCAGTGAGTCCTCATGATCAGGTTCCATTACTCGCTGCTGTTGGAAGAAAAAGGAAGAATTTGTTCGTGAATACTAGTGCAAATTTAAACCTTTCAACATGTAAGATTTAAGTAGTCACTCACTTTCTTGAAATTATTGATCACAAGAAATGCTTGTTTAAGTTGGATAATGTGACATATGTATGTCCTCTTCATCCTGCTTCTGCGTTTAACAATGACTTATTGACATAGGTAGAATTCCCTGTAACAATAAATAATGAGCAATAAGGTGATATAAAGCATAAATCGTGTTCCCTTGAATGATTAAGTAACATACAGATTCAACCTTAAATTGAAGAAGTAATCTGTGTGTGGTATAGTTTACGGGGAAGACACTGAGGAAACTACAAACATTTCTCTTTCTCTTCTTAAGATATTGATTTGTCCGGTCCCGGGAACCTGGGGTAACCTCCGGTAAGAGTGGGGGTGGAAGCGGGAGAGGGCAAAGGCAGGGAAGGGAAGGGAGTGACGTCAACAAGCTTCAACCAATCACACAGGGAGATGGGCCCGATGTCAGCCAATCACAGAAACGTTCAGTGACAGCACAACCTAACCCAACCTGGTCAGCCTGCAGAAAGGCATGTACAGACTGCTCCGAATCTAAACAACTGAAAAAAAAATAGTTTTAGGTTTGTTCATTTAGAATCTACTGACAACATGCCTCTAGTGGTTATAACAGGGATTCCCGCATCGGGAAAAACCACTCGTGCTTCTCAACTTAAGGAGTATCTAGAGAAGGAGCTAAAAAAGACAGTGCATGTTGTCAGTGAAAATGAGGTTATCACGTCTTCAAATATAAATAAAAATGCCCTCTACCTTGGTAATAATTAAGAAAAACGAAAATAAGTTTTCAGTTGTATGGGATATTTTCTCTATGAGCAATTCTAATAAATGATCTTATTTTAAAACTATTTGGCAGATTCTTCAAAGGAAAAAGAGATACGCAGCATCATTAAATCTCAAGTGCAAAGGTGCAGAGAAAACATATTCTTGGGCCGCCTTTTATCTCTATTTCTATGCAACATACCGATAATAAAATATTTCTTGCAGACTTATAGGCCCAGATACAGTTGTTATCATGGACGCAGCTAATTATATAAAAGGTATAAATATGGTCTGAGGTCTGTTTTAAAATTAAAATTTAACCCTTAATCTTGATTATGGATTTGGCAGGTTATCGTTACGAAATTTACTGTATGTCCAAAAGTAGTAAAACAACGCAGTGTACACTCCATTGTGAAACATCCCCTACTGTGGCTTGGGAATTTAACACATCTAGAGAAAGTGACAAATGTTGGTATTTTGAATTGCATTCTATCACAAAACAGTAATGGTGTTAACGAAGTTAATAAATATTGATTGTATTTCAGGCTCAGGTAATGAAAAGTACACAAGAGAAACTTTTGATGCATTGGTCATGCGCTATGAGGCTCCTGATAATCGAAATAGGTGGGACAGCCCTCTTGTTGTTGTGCAAGCTGAGGACAATTTACCCGTTGAAAAACTTGCCAGTGCCTTATTTGATCGGAAGCCACCACCTCCAAACCTATCAACACAAAATGTTTGTATTCCAGCAACATTACAGTGTCAGGACCAAATGAAAATTGGTGTGATTGTTTTATGCATGAAAATGAAGCATGATGGTATGTTTTATAAACTAATATATCGTTCTCTTTTACTTGGTTTGGGGTTCCAGGCTCCATTGTCTGCTACTAATTACCTTCATGAGCTAGACCGAATAACTCAAGAAATTGTTATGGTAGTCTTTCCAGCACACTTAAAACTGATACTTTGGTTTTCAAAACAAGGCAACATGATTTTAGAACCAATATCTATTTTTTTCAGGTCATACTGTCTGCTCAGAACCTGGGTTTGGAAGGAGATGTAAAGATTCCAGGACACCACAACTTAAATGTTATGCTTAATGGAAACAAACTAACTGCAGCTCAATTGGGACGCCACAGGCGTCAGTTCCTCACATACTCTAAGATGCACCCATCTTCCGATACCTCTCAAGTAGCCTCATTGTTTGTACAATATTTAAATTCATCAATCTCAGCATGATCTACAAATCATAAAACATTTTGATGATTTTGACCAACACAAATAAATTACGTTTTAAAAGAATAAAGAGACACTTTAATTTACACCAGTTGTAGCCTACCAGAACAAAATCAAACTTTTCTATCAAATTATTCAGCAAACTACTTTGTCTACATGAAAAATCCCCAACTAGTCTAAATTTTAGAAAGACAAACAATATTAAATACATTAAAATAAGCAATTGAAGAGCCAAGCACGAAGAGCAGGAGGTCTAAATAGGACTGACAATAATAAAACTTGATTCAAAGATCATGAAACAGTTGCCAAAAAATTATTTCTCGGCAACTGATAGCACTTTGTCCCATTGAAAATATTTTGTTTATGTTGGGTCTGGGAATACCAAGTTTGACATCCCTAACCTGGTCTTTAAATTTAGATAGTTCCCTTATTTAAAAGGACACATGAGAAAAATGTGGAGTACCTTCTCGTTCCGTTCTGATAGAAGGTCCCATCGTTCCATGGCCAAATTAAAACCACAATCGGGTGTAGTTTCTCAGGAACATGAATTGACAGCAGCGAGAACAGAAGCGGCCTGCTTAACAGCTTAACCAGTGTTTTCGATTTGCAACGGTAGGCAGCAGCACGGTCGACGCTGATCGCCGCAGGCTTCTCAAATGTTCCGTAGAGAGCGCTGCGATCAGCAATGTTTATGGCACCAGCGGAGAAGAAGTTTTGGCGTTGTGCTTTGATATTGCCCAAGCAAACAGATCGTTGGTGAGCTTTTATAGTTTTTCTATCAATTTCTTTACGCGATATCGTAGATTTAGGTCTGTTTCTACTCAGTGCTTCGTAGCTTTTTTTTTGCTTCGTGCCAGGCAAACAACACTAACGTGTTCGAGATTGATTCGTATGCAACCTAACCCTCCCGGTTAGTCAACAGTTGTAACAAGGTAGAATTCCAAGAAGCTTGATGTTTGGAAAACTGTACTCCATTCATTTGCCAATGCAGGGTTTTATGTTTTCTCTTCACAACCATATTTGTGGGCGGCTAACTCTGCAAGTTTGCTAGTATTGTGCTTGTTCATCATGTACACAAAGCCACTTCAATTTAAAATTTTAGCTTCCCATAAAATTTAGGTCATATTATCATTTGGTCATATTAATATGAGAGAGTGCACCCTTATTCTTTACCGAAATGAAATTTTTATAGTCATATCAGATACTGTTATATTGAAGATCAAGTTTGCTCGTTGTATCTCCTCGGAGTTCTGTATTAGTTCCTATTCCTCGCTGATCGGCATGCATGAAATGTATCCCTGATTCATCAACACTCCTTTTCGATTATTCTGAATTTTTTTATATGAGGAACTAATGTTATGAAGACTGTTTAGAACTTTAATCTGAGGTGATTTTTCTGTTGTGATTCTCTGATTGAAAAGTAGTTTTCAATCTTCTGAAATTGAAACAATTTTATGCTTTGACCATGTTTAATTTTGTTTATGCTGAATTCTGCACCTGGTCATTTTTTCCCTCTTCCTTTCTAACAGCTTCATTTCTTTAGGCAAAGAGATCGTGAAGAATGTACCCCTGTTAGTTTCTATGTAGCCCACCTCTGTATTTTGTGGCCCAACCCCACACATGTTTATATGTATTTTCTTAGAGTAGTGGAATTGAAAAAGTGGAGATTAAGTGTGTGAAACTGTGTTGATTGGTTGGTTGGTTGATTCATTGATTCATTGGTTGGTTGATTCATTGTTGATTGGTTGGTGTGTGTCGGACCCCAGCTCCGCGGATCGTCATGCGTGTCATCATTTTGACCAGGCGGATTTGCACTGCGCTGCGCGGTCCGGGCCGAAAGTGCGGTGGGCCGGAAGTACCGGGAATAGTTGGTTGTTGAGAAGTCGGGAGAGGCCTTGGCTCCCGCTCCCGCTCGGCCCCCGGCCCCGGCGGAGCAGCGGCGCACCACCGCCTCGCGGCTCGCGGACGCGACGCGCGGCACGACGGTCCGCGACCGCGACCCTCGCTGAGCTGAGTTCCCATCCCACCCGCCGCGGCCGGGATGGAGCCCGGCTGGGGCTTGGGGCTTGGGCTGGGCGACGACGCCGTGCGACGCGGTGCGCTCCGCGGTCCGTCCGTGTGGCGACGGACGAGCCTGTTCTCTCTTGTGTCCTGCACCCCCC